GATATCATAATACTGCACCATAGTTGACAGCTATTCGGAAAGTCAGACTCGACCGCGACGGAGTCGAACTGGTATGCGTCCGGTCCGGTCCGGCTTGTGAGGTTAAAGCTTAGCTACAATACCAGTCTCTCTGTGGCTATGGAAACCGAAACCGAACAGCTCGTGGTCGCTTGATACCGGCAGCCGCAGTCCATCAATGGGAGCGCCCCTCAGGATCTACCGTTGCTCCTTGACAAATATTAATTATTCTGCAAGGCTTGGATCATGTATGCGCACTGCCAGCCATTTTTGTCAACCTTGCAGCGGTCTCACAGAATCCATGAAATTTCAAGCATCACTGGAATCTATATTGCCCACTTCATCAAAGGCTGCGATACTATACAACACAACAACATACATACTCTTCGTACCAGTAACGCTCAAAAAATAGCGTTTAGTGTCAAAACCAAGAGGCACTAGTTGGCCCCGACGCTACGGCTCGGTCCATCCGCCACGGCGGGTCAGTGACCCAGGTTGACGAAGTTATCTGCCACTTGACCGAATCATGGCTCCTCGGTGGCGTCCCTGGTCGATACAAGCCGCGACTCCGTCGACTCCCTATTTGTTAGAACACACGGCGCAGTTGTGATAGAGCGTTTCCAAGGGCTCAAACTTGGGCCCTGGCCAGCAAGGTTGTCTGGGGTCGGTAACAGTAGACCAATCAACATCGCCCCAGATCCACGTCTCTGGTTCTTCAATGTTAAGACCAGGGCTACCGTGGCTAGTCCACTTACTAGTTGCCAACGGGTGAGTTCCAGCCGTCGCACGACGTCAGTGCCACCGGCACAACTCTTCTCCCCTCTTACCATTTTATTGCTCCGTATATTGTACATACATATCCAGGGCGGATAGCTGAAGCCAATACCGGTGCCCTGCTGCCGTGGCTGCGTTCATGCAAAACGCGGAGCATGTTTTTTGGAACACGTGCTACGTTGTTAGGAGCAAGTGGTTCTGGCACGTCATGGTTGCCGCTTCTTCAGATCGCTTCATGATGCTGCTTCTTGAGTATTATGCCTGGCATCAAAGGTCCATTGAACGGGCCCCCGCAGGCCACCTGTCTATGGCCTAGGACCTGGGAGCCTTTCTAGCCGACTTGACCCTGGTGGACCGGTGGTGAGGGTCCTGGTTCCATGACGGGATCTGTCAGAACAGCATGTACACCGAAGCCCCTGTTACTCCCCAGACGGCTCTGGACGCTGGCGCAAAAAGTGACTTTGATTCGTTTCTGCTCCTCAAAGGAATGGCCGTACGGTAGCAGAGTACAGGGCTCAAGGATCCGACTATCAAGACGGAATGGCATCAAGCATTGCCACACCGGACGATTTGGCTTTGCTCTCTCCGGTTTCACTCGTCTGATACTCCCAGTACCAGTGGGGCACGCTCAACAACGACAGCGACAGTGTACGGAGTACCTCGGTACCTACCTACATAGGTACCTAGTAGTTTCTTGGGCAAGTGTTGTTGTCTCAAAGGTGGAGGCGGTAGCAAAGGTACGCGGCGACTTGGTGTTTGGTGTCGCTCCGAATATTCTTTAATAACAAACGGAACTCCCGAGAAGACACCTCTTGAGTTCCCCATTTAATTCATAGGCACACACGTTGGGAGCATGTACAAGAACCCTTGCTATCTTGAAGTGTTCGGCTAAAAAGGACGACTGCAGTCTTTGAACAGGATTCGAGCTGGCTCCAAGCTGGCTGGGTTCAAATGCGGTATACTCCGTACGCATTACTGAGAGACTCTACGGGAACCAGGCTTGAAACAAACCTTGGCTGAACATCTTCGAGGCACCAGGCAACCTGGGCAATTTGTGGAATGTGGACGACAATACAATAGGCACCCAGGCGCGGAGAAGACGTCCATATGTCCATAAACCTTTGATGACGCCACTTGTACCAATACCTGGGATCATGAGGTCCCCGATCGAGCCCGACAACCTGGTTGTGGGTAGTCTTGTCTCTCGATGCTGGTTTCGAGGACTAGATCAAATCAAATATCCTGGTACTGTATTTTGGACGCCGAGCGGGCAGTCAGTCAGTGACCAGTTGTCTGAGACATGCCTCGTCAAAGCAACTGTGACTGCTCGGGTTTTGCTTTCTTTTCCTTTCTTCCTTCCCATATTGTATATTCTATGTACATGAAGTACGGAGTAGCGCAGTGCCATTGCTAGAAGAAAGTGGTCACCGCCAGTCTCTCCACATGTCCTCTATCATTGAGACGATAAAGGTATTGATTGCATAGCGCGCCAGGATTTCACCCAGTTCAGGCCGCAGATACGTTTGTCTTGAGGGAAGCATTTTAATTCTGGTGTGAAAGCCACTGAAATTGGATCATGAGAACTCTTCTGAGTCGTATCATGCTGTCCTATAAGAGAGAACCATCTTTACTAGTCCTTGATTCGGCGGCCAAATAACTTTGAACCTTGCATACGCCCGACATCATCTCCAAGGTAGTGTAAGTGCAAACTTGGCGAAACCAACTTGCAAACTAGAGTGGGAGGTGTGCTCACTTACAAAATATATACGTGCATACATATCCGCCTTGATAATGAAATTCACAGGCGATATGGTTGGCTTGGTGTTTACGACTTCACGCTTATTCCTTGCACTGTCATCTGCCTGGCACTCAGCTACCTGAGACTTGGAATTGTCGAGATAGTCGAGTACGGAGAATCTACTATCAAAATGCAAGGGATAGCAGTTCAAAGGTAAGACAGAACAAAACGGTATGTTGGAAGAATCCTTAGCAGGCATTTGTTCTGGGGCTCAAAAGATGCCAAGATCTGACTTATAAAGACAGAAAACGCCCATCAAGAAACAAATGCCACTCTCTCTCAGGCATTGTAGTAGAAGACGCGTTGCATCTCGACAGACCGAGTCCAACTTTCCTAGATCACCAATAAGCCTGCAGCAGAGGCGGGAGAAGACACACGAGCAGCATCTTTGACCTGCTTAGCAACACTCTTGTCACAGGCCATGGCCAAGCAAATTCCCAACCAGTTGTGGTATGTCAGGCTTGATATGTTATGGACGTTCGAAAAAGGGGGTGTGCAAACTGGAGGAAGTGCATACCAGGGTCGTTTACGGAGTAGTCCGTATGGCTTGTTTGAATCACATCAGCTGCGAACCCTTCCTGCGGCTGCATCCTCCTTCAAGACGTTCTTGTCTGGAACACGCCCCCCCCCCCAAGAGTTGCAACGACCCGCAAACAATGGCTTGTGTTGCGACATTTCCGGTCGTTGACGATTGCGTCTTTGAGGCCAATGGCGAATTCTAAGTGACGACCTTTGCAAGCCGTGCAGAAATCCCTTTCGGGATATCGCAGTCCCCATGGTGCCGCTTACAAGAGAAGGGCCAAAATGAAAAAAAAAACGTAATCACGCCGCTCAGAAGAAGAGTCTCTCATGACACCGTGCTACCATTGAGGCTCCGCTCGGCTAGGCATTCTCTTCAGCAAAAAGGGATCGCATCATGGGCTTGAAATGTGACAAAATGTATTAGCAACGGCGGTTTGTCGATCTTATTCCCTTCTTCCACGTCCAAGACATGATAATTACCAAACAGGCATGCATAAGAATTGGCTTGGGTCTAGCCAGAAAAGCTCGCATTTCCCACCGGCCGCCGCCCCGATATCAATCACAACGCCCCCTTTCTTCGCCCTGGCCTGCCTTAACACCCCTCTTAACGCCTGCCTTCCACACCGTAACTCTTAATGTTTGCTACTACCCGTGGTCTTGGTGGCGGACGGAGGGATGGGAAGCGTGGCTATCGCGGCACAAAGAGGGCTGGGCCGAGTCCCACATTGTCAATTTGGGGGCTCCCTCCCGTCTGATTATTCTTACCTGGGACTAATAGGCTTGGCGGCCATGGCAGGCATTGTAAGCAGTCGATATGTATGTATGTGCGTACATACACGAAATACCCAAGTCCTTGTTGATGGGCTCTATTTTTAGTCATCTGCAGAGGCTTTAACATTTGTCTCACAGAAAGCAGTTCGGACGGCGCCATTGGAGTTTGTCAACCTTCACCCAAAAGGAACGAAAAAGAAAAAAAAAATACAAGGCTTTTTGGCAACGGTGACGACTTAGAACGTCCGCGACTTCGGACAGACGGATCGCCTAGCTCCCGGCGATAGTACATCGCCAAGCCAGCTGGGCATCACATTGGTCGCGAGAATACACGTACTACGTACATATGGAAAGCTCAATGCGCATGTTTCACATTTTTATCCAACGTGGGGATTCTCTCGGTAGTTTTACGACGGCAATTGAGTTGTATCCGGCATACTCTGTACACTGCACCGAACGCCGTGGGTGGGGGAACGCGTGTATTTCGGCAGCTCAAAAGACGATCAAGGCCCAAACAGGCGGCGTATCTCTACTTTTGGCCCCAAGTTTTGGCCCCAAGTCGCTCTGAAGAGCCGTGCGCCAACTGAAAGTGCTTGCTTCCTGGCTTGCGCCTCGTCGCAGACCTCGAATGATTTTGACTTTGGGAGCGCTTGGCGCGGAAATGTCATCTGGTCACGCGAGGCTACCCTCAAACCAATTACGTCCCGGTATGGATTTCTGTCAATGTTCATCGCCTTGATTCAGTCATGTGTCTACCGAGTTCGTATTGATCTTCCAGAGCGGTGTGTGTCATGGGGAGATTGCACCACGAAAGTGCAACTCTATGATAGTTATACAATACGAGAGGACAACGGACCCTTTTTTGCAACTAATCTCACCGTTAATGTATTACTGTTTCACTCCTTTCTAGGGACATTTTGTGGTAGGCGAGCGCCATGTGCAAACAGGGGCGGTGATTCGGATTGTGCCAGTCTCTACTAGACTACTGACGCATAACCTTCAACTAAATTTACCCAACTACTTCTTTGAAAGCGTTTTTATCCCCAAAATGGCAGATATACATGCATCTGGATCGTTTACACCGTACCGATTTCCAACTCATCATCAAACACTATGTCTAAGGGTTTAGAAAGGCCTCAATTTCATCCCGCAACTCTGCGAGATGCTTCCCAAGGCTCTCCTCCTTCGTCTTGACAGCTCGAAAAGAAATGTCCACCACATCTGAAAACATTGACTTGCCACTCCCACCGTCTTCAGATACCCCTTTGCTTCCACCGCCATTGCTCAAGGCAGGATCCAAGGCCGCAGTCGCCACTCGGAGACGAGCGAGAAACTCCTCTGCCAACTGGATAGTAAGAGACATCTGCAATGATGGAGAAGGGTCCACGGCAAAAGACCCAACTTGGACCTCAGGAAGTCTCCAGAATCGGAAGAGAGCTTCCGAATCAACTCGAGACAGTTCCATGCGAACCAGACTGAACACCTTTTGATACATGTCGAGCAGGCGGACATATATCGAGAGAACAAACATGGAGTTTCCAGGGTCAGAGTTGTCCATTCTGGTTGCAGAAGCGCCGCCTCCTGCCGACAACCGGTCGAGGACATCAGCCACTCGTCGAGTAAGCTTGAACATCTCATCAATTGGAAACCCCTGGTTAGCAAACGCTTCATCATTTGATCTGCCCAGCGTGTCAAAATTACATGCTGCCGGTTGCTGCTGGGGCAAGACAGACGCAAGGTCTAATAGCCGAGAATTTATTTCAGATAATTGCGCCATCCAGTGTATACTTGGGGGGTCTATGTGTGTTGCTGGTGCGTTTGCGATCTGGCGTAACGCAATTTGCCTTGGCCGGTTTCTAAGACGGGGCCTTCTGCGCTTTTCTGCAAGAGACTGACTGTGAGGAGTCTCTGTCAGACTCAGTGTAGGAACGGCCGATTGAAACCCGCTGTTGTCTCCGGGTTGAAAAGATGAGGGTGTAGCGTGGAATGCTTCGGTGGCTTGATTCAACTGCTGATCCCAAGGATCTGGGAACGTGGGGACAGGTTGAAAGGCGTCAAGACCTCCTGGAACTGAGTTGTGTGGCAGGGAAGCGGCCGGAGGGGGCGAAAAGAAGTTGAGGTTCTCAATCTGGCTAAAATCAAAGTCTGCTGGTTCCAACGATGCTTCAGTGGCGACGACACTCTGCTTCTCAGACAATGTGTCCTCGGCCTGCTGATTGATTGGTATTCCTATAGACGAGAAGGGGCTATTAGAATAGCTGCACAATGCAATGTCATATCATTGTGGTTTCATGGTAATATAACATGCCTTGTTCTCCTGAAAGCAGACCCAACTCACAAGCTGTCCTTCGACGCTTGGGCGAACGCCTGCCGACAGGGGGCTTTGACACTGGCGTAGAATATGCTGATGGTTGTGTTTGAGGTTTCTGTTGATTCTGATATGGGGTTCTCTGCTGCTGGCGTTGGTATTGCTGGCCGTGCTGCTGTTGCTGCTTCTTATAGCGAAGAGAGGGACTTGATTTGCACTCGGTCTGAAGTCTGACACAGCGTTCGCAGGCCTCGTCGCCGACTCGTTTACAGCTCAGCTTCTGGGAGTGGCAACGGTCGCAAGCTTTCCTAATAATGCTATCGGCCATGGTAATAGCCATATTTTCGGAAACCAGAAGGGCTGGTGAGAGACATGTGGAAGTTTAAGAAGACATTGCCGAAATGTGAGAAACGCCTTGCCCTTGCACCACTCCAATAATTTTCTCGCCTTGACTCTACGCGTGAGACAGGTGTCGGCGAAATCATTGGTTACCGAGAAAGCGTTTAGAGAGATGCAGACCTCCGTGGCCCTGGGCCTGGCCAGTTCGTTTCCGGTGATGTTGACGCTGTGTTGACGCTTTCCAAACTTGGCGTGCTCATCAAAACTTCTAGCTCTGTGAAACGTATGAGATCCGGCGTTTTGGATAGGATGAGACAAAGTAGCCAGGCTTTTTCTCCATGCAATGCGGACTGAAATGTTGGGGGTTCAAAGCGCCGCCCAGTTCGCTTACCAAACTGTCGGTTCAAGATGAGCAAACGCAGGATAGTCTTCCCGTTCCTTCGTATACCAGTGACACAAGAAGCCATGCTCGAATATCTTCACTGGCGTACCGACCCAATGGATCGGTGTTTCAAGGTGTCCGAACAGCGGGTCCGCGGAAGACCCAAGATCAACCTCAGGTAAGCTTTTGTGAGTTTAATGTCGCCCCCAGCCATCTGCATAGATATGTATGGACTTGCGTAACGTTACCCAGAGCAAAATTACATTGCATCGCAAATAGCGATATCTCGTGTTGTGCTCTCATCCAGCACTGACATATAGGCACTATAAAAGTTGGACACTATACGCATAAACACATTTCTGGGATATCAGGTGCTGGAAACAGAAGATTACCATCGCCGAATTACTCTTGTATAACATCTGGGAAACCTTGATGCCGTCATTCCGCACGGGAAGCGGATTTCGGCAATGAGCCGTTTCTGTGTTGTGGAACCAAGGTTTCCGGGTTCAAGGAGCTCGTCAATTTGCCTGCCCATATTCCCTTCGAATCCGTTGGGGAAATTGAAGTACCTGAAGACGGGACGCCACACCTGAGTATATACGAACAGGGACAGCCGCGCAATCCCCAGAATTATATGCCATTGTATGGTTGGCTGGAAACTGAAATGCGGCAGTACTTCATTCCTGCACAGGTGATATCCGGGTGACTTGACTTGGTCAAGCACAATTTGCCTCTTGATGCATATAAGCGTCAAGATCCATCTCGGTATATAGGAAAGTACGTCGAGGTTGAAGAGCCTACTATGAGTATCAGATGTAGATTCTTAAGAGCGTCAAATTTTTCATCCTTACGCAGGGTCATAGGCTCCAAATGATTTTCAGAGAAAATGCTGCTGTTCATCCTTTTCAAAGCCGTCAAATGTCAAAAGAGCTGCCAGCGTTCAGGGTTCAAGTAGGATGCTTTCGTACTTCCAATTGCCGAGTACAGCACAGCATTGACAGACAAGCCCAGGCTTTCGGTTTCGGCAAGGTGAGCTTTGCGGATGCCGTATGAGAATTTCATGGGACCAAGAAGCGAGCGGCGTTGGAGGATAGACGCAAGATAACGCCTCACAGATTGACGTCCAGAAGTTCGAGCCAGAGAGGGCGGTGAGGATGCCAGTAACCGCCTTCAAGTGTAACAACGGCAGCACGGTAACGCATGCAGTCGACATCCGAACCTAAATTCGGCATTTGTGCGATGGATTTTAATCCAGTTTGAGCCCATAAGTCTCATTCAACGTGAGCGCCATTAATGAACTGCCAGCCTGGCCATGTGCATCTGATCTAGACCAGGGCCGTTTACACGTTTCACAGGCGGCGTAGATTAATCTCATTCCGAAGTGTCGGCGTTCGGGGGTTAGGGATGAGTTCTGAGAACCGTTTTAACATGCCGAAACTTCGATCGATGGTCTATGCGACTCTTTTCATCATCGCGAATTCAATAAACTTCAAAATCCGGCTTCCACTATTCCCTTCATTTCAAATTTGACGTGCCCCAAGCCCCAGCATCCATTGTTCCAGTAGTCTTCGCAGTGTTTGATGATCGTCAGCAGTGGCTCGACAGCTCGGCAGACTTGAGGCTAGAATGAGTATCGATGGCTCGGGACATGTATCTGTCTTGATATCATCATGGCTCAATATTCTACCAACTGGTTATCACCAACCGTGGCTTAATTCACATCTTTTTAGCCGAAGAAAATCATCCCACAAAGTAGCGACCAGGCAATCTGTACCGGTGTGTAGATCAGCCCGTTTCCTGAGATTTAGATCTGTTGATCAAGACTCACCACCAGTAGATGGTGCAGTCAGCAAAGCCAGAGGGTATCTGAGTTCCGGTTGTCCTCTGGGTTGTCTTGATAACGCCGCCGACGGGTGGCAATCATCGACCGGCCGTTGACGTTCAAGGTGGTTGATGACACATGCTGCAAACCATGGATGAAAGCGACGTATGCAAAAGCCGCAAGACTTGAGCACTGTCGCGGTGGTAGCGAATTAACGATTTTGATGTCTAGCTAACATTGAACAAAGGACGCCGCACCTATCCAGAATTGACGTCAGTATTCGATGGTTGTTTCGACCACGCTTCAAAAGACCTTGTGACTAGAGTCTAGGAAGTAGTATAAGGGAGGCGGAGATGCTTTGTAGAGCTCACCAATATTAAGACCGAAATGCAAATTACTTGGTCTGGATATGCTGAGGACATGTGCTGCAGGTGCCAGGGAGATCAAGGTCCAAGAAGGTACGGGGCCTGGCAAGTGACTGGCACCTGCCGCCGGCTGCATTCCATGTGGAACACCTGGCAAACAATTAAAGCCTCAAATGCTGACATTGGCAGTCTTTTCAGTATCGTCATAGATTCTGCGGCCAACCTCGTCTTGCAGGGCTTTGGGGGTTCTCGATGCACGTCTCCTCCCGAAGTGTGTTTGGGCATCAGAAAAGTCTGATTTCTCATCTACTGCAATGGCGATGAACCCCGAACGGGAGAAAATGCTCAGAGATGCTTCCGCCAAAGAAAACGAGCTTCCAAATCCGCCACGCGTCAAGTGCATTCGCATCACCGGTTCAAATGTTGTAGCACTGAAGGATACAAATGCTGCCAGGCCCAAGCCGGATCGTCCCGATGCAACTAAGACGTCCGCTACTACATCGCGAAAACGATCCCGCGACTTGCTCGAGCAAGAAAACCTTGGAGATGTTGCATTTGATAACCGGCTCCGTCGACAACATGCTCCCCTTTTCCCTCTCCGTATGTGATTTCAGCACCATGTTCAGCTTCTAGACCCATCTAACCCTGTCGCACAGCGCCTCCCCCTAGCCATCACACGACATATCTCACAAGCCTGCTTCAAGGCTGGCTGTTGCGGCTGACATTGGAGCCAAAGCCGACCAAAAAGTCTGTTCCTGCAGTTTCCACACACATGGACCAAATCACAAGCGTCGGACTGCTTGTAAACGAACTAATGCGCCGAATGGGACTTCCAGTGCTGCGTCTGCCTACGTTGAACGAAGTCAGCCTGCCTGCCCCTGCAGGTGAATACTCCATAGACCGCGTGGCACATGGCTCACTGCTGGAAGATATTTAGAAATGTCTTTCGGCTTCGCAGAAATATGATATGGCCCGTCAGGTTCGAAAATTTGTCACACAATTACGGAAGACTCCACGGCAAAACGCGCAGCTGGGGTCTATTGCCTCTGGGAAATGTTCCCTCATGCTGGACAAGCATCAAAACAACACCCACTGGGCTGTGCGGCTAAACCCTACTCACAGCATGTTTATAGCATTTCTTATGTCGTCCTTTTACGCCACAGTTCCCAGTTCTGTTGGTGCTGCACTTGCTGAGCAACTTAGGCGCGAATCTCCGCTTGTCATGTCGCATGGCGACATTTGCCCCAAGAATATAATAGTTGACAAGTCCCAAATCATTGCCATTATGGGCTGGGACTGTGCAGGCTGGTATCCAGACTGGTGGGAATATGTCAAGTTTTTCGAAGCCCGCACCAGTGATAAGAATTCTGATTGGTATGAGTATGCAAGCGAAATCTTCTGTGAAGAATTTCCTGCCGAGTTGGCAGCATACCAAGGAGTCGTTCGATGCCAGCTGCCCTAGCACAATGACGTCAAGAGGGTCTGCTCGAGTTTCTTTGGGGCCAATGCTGAAATTCGGAACTTATACTTCTAATGGTGCTGCTGTTAGCCTCGATTGATGACAGAGCATGAAACATGGGGATTTGTAACGACCGGCGAGCTACGCGCACGTTGAGTATTGTACCAAGGTGTATATATTACATATATTCAGCTACATTCGTCACATGTCAAACACTGCTTTTCATTTTTCAAACCGCTTGGAAACAGTGCTCCAGTTGATGACCTCCCAGATGGCACTGAAATACTCAGCCTTGCGATTCTGGTACTGCAAGTAGTAAGCATGCTCCCAGGCATCAATACCCAGGAGAGGCTCAAAGTTGCCAACGACGGGATCCTGGTTGGCACGAGTGACAAGAGACAGTGTGCCCGAGGTCTTGTCTTTGACGAGCCAGGCCCAGCCAGAGCCTTGGATGCCAGCAAGAGTCGCGTTGGTCTGCTTCTTCAAGTTTTCGAACGACCCGAAATCTTCATTGATGGCGGTCTACGCGAACGAGCAATTGTCAGTACTCACGTGCGCCCCCAGAAGCTGACGAGGGCTAGGTCGACATACCAAAAGTTTGCCCTCGGGCTCGCCACCACCGCCCTTTCCATGGGGGGCCAGGTTCTCCCAGAAAAGGGAGTGGTTAACGTGGCCACCACCGTGGAAGTTCAGAAGAGGACCTTGAGCAGCGGCCGCTTTGGTGTCGTTCGTGGAAAGGGCCTCAGCAAGCACCTCGCTGGCGGCATTGAAGCTGTTCACATAGGTTTGGTGGTGCTTGGAATGATGGAGCTCCATGATCTGGCCAGAGATGAAGGGCTCGAGAGCGGCATAATCGTCTATTGGGGGCAATCAATCGCGCAAGGAATTAGCGAAGTTTGTTCCTCCAGCTATACACGTCGGTGCGAGAACCATGCGGATGCGACGGAGCCAACGGGGATAGACTTACAGGGAAGATCAGGCAGAGTGGCCTTGCCACGGACAAAGCTTGTGCTAGCCATGGCCATGGGCTTAGCGGCACGCAGGCCGGCCCTCACAATGGGCGTGGTGCGAAGAAGCGCTGATGACATGGTGGGTTCTGTGTTTGACAACGATGAGTCTGTTAGCTTGCGGAGCGAGAGACACCTTTGACGGAGATGCGATGGAGGTGGCAGGAATGAGGGCGATTGGATTCAGAGGTCGGGACGGGTGACGGATGCAGGCTGGAGGTTGATGTTTAATATGGACTCGACGTTTGGCTTACCAATTGGAGCAGGGTGGGTGGTGGAAGGGAAGAGGTGGATGATGTCAAAAAGTTGGGGACAGGAGCTTTCGGATAGCCGAGCTTCGAGGTGCTGGAGCTTGGATTGCGTCCGGTGCATCAGCCCGTCGTCACTGTGGGTGGGTGACGCTAAACGTCGGCAGCAGCTGGGCTGGTTGGCCCGTTGCGGAAAGGCTGGTGTTGTGGCTGGTGTGGCTTGACCGGAATTGAGAAAGCTGTTACGACATGTGCTACCCAAGGAAGTACCTAAGTAGGTATTGAGTTGGTTGTTCGATAGTCTCAATTAAATTGGGAAAGATGTCTGTTTAGTACCTTGGGTGTACCCAAAGTTCCTTTGTTGTCTGGCTTCGAGCTGTCGTTGATGGAGTTGGCTATCGTTCTGACGACACTTGGGTAGGCAGCCACCGTAGGCTATTCGGCTCAATACAGAAAGCTGTTCAATTTCAAGTACGTCCTTGGCACGACTCAGCTCGTGACCAGCCTAGTGCAATTATGAATAAATTATAAAAAGGCAATTCCTAGACCTCGGCCTTTCTAGGCAATGCCGAGCCGCGAGGCGGAATATAATGCTCTGTCTGCCAGCTTTTAGGTAAACTAGCCGATCGGAGGCGAGCGCAGGTCCGAGCCGACGTCAAGACCTTGGCGGGTGAAATCCAGGGTGACGCCCTTGACTCATTTTTAATACGTTTGTCTTTGTATCTGAAACACGGGCACCTTGAAGATGGCCGTTATTTTTCTGTAGAATAAGGTGTTGTAGTTTGCACGAAACATTCAGCAGCGAGATTCACGTCTGCCGTGTAACAGAGCTCCAGGCAGTCTGTGCTTGGCAATGACGACACTGCCACTGCCGAAGCAAACAGCGCGCCAGTGCCGTGACAGGCGTTAGTAATCACATCAAGCTGTCGCTGCCCAGACGCGTGTGGAACACTGGACACCAATTGGTATCTCAAGCTGGACTGTGGAGGGGCCAAGTCGCGCTGCATCCATCGCATGTTGATTGATCCCACCAACCGAGACCTCTGTAGACGAAGCTTCTTCCATTGGCAATGCCGCATCGCCATTCACAATGTCGTACTACGACGTGGATGCTATCCTCACAGACGCAGAGGTACCCATAGACTCTCAATGACAACCCGCGATGCCAACCTGTCCAGCTGACCCTCCGCAGAAAGTCCCCTGCCAGTTCGAGCTCGATGTCCCCTACCTAGGCCACCTCGACAACTCCTCCGGCCTCAAGCCCGGCACGCCGCTCTCCCTGCCCCTCTGGCTTGCCGAAATGCTCGCGCTCGCCTCCGCCGGCGAAGACTCAAAGGCTCCCCTGACGCTGAACCTGCCGCCCTGCCTGTCCGACCAAGTCATCAACGCGTTGAAGGCCGACCCGCGGGCGGTTGCGCTGCGTGACCAGAGCCCGCATTTTTACGGAGTTGGCGTCAGGATGTTGGATTTGTTCGACGAGAGGGAGCTGGGTGCCGTGCTGAGGGCCACGTTTGTCGTGAGGGCCAACGATGTTGGACTGCATGCGAGGAAGGCCGAGGACTCTGTAGGCGGCCAGGGGGAGGAGTTTCTGAGGGGCCTGGATGAGTGGGAGAGGAATCTATTTCGGAGGGGACACGAGGGCGTAAGGGGGGCCAAGGAATGGACTGAAAAGGTGAAAAGGCTGTGATTTTATTTCTTTCTTTATTTTCTGGAGTTGGGCTTGGGTTCGGGCTTTGCATGGTTTGCATTTACACGGTGGGATATTTGGGAAGTACACGAAGCAGTCATTGAGCGATGCCCCAGTGGTACTTGATAATGCATGAATGGAGAATGATTATTCACAGTTGGTTTGCAGAGACACGGACATGGACATTACCGAGGAATATCTGTATTTGACATGCGATTAGGCAGCTCGCAGCGTACTATTTGATGCCAGCATCTATCTCACCTGAATATCCCGTTCTTTTGCGTCCCTCCACCCCAACACCGTCTCCAGCTTCAACAGCAACACCGTCACCAACCCCAGCGCCATCCACCCCAGCGTGACCAACATGTCACTCAACTCCAAGAAAAGGAAATACTTATTCGAATAGCGCACTAAATACGCCGTCCCGCCCCATATAATCCCATGAACCATCCCCATCGCGGGCTTCCCAGCTCCGGTGGCCCTGGCTATGCTCCGAGCCGTGGGCAGGAAATGAACATACGCCCAGTAAAGCACCAATCCACACTGAAACACGGCATGTAACCATCTCTCCGATATGCAACTCCACAGAAAAGCCCGTTCAACGGCACCTCCGTACACAACTAGCCGTGACAAGGCGTACATGTAGGCTGCGGAGAAGCACGCCTGCGTGTAATACCCCTCCATGAGGGTTAAACTCATGGCCATGCAGAGCATATCGTGTATTCCAAGAGCCACCTCTCGCTCTCCGTCAAGAGCTAGAAGCGGCGTCGAGGAGGTATCTTTCTGGTGGGAGGAGGTGCCCTCTTCGGAGACGAGCCCATTCTGAATGCCCGTAAGAACAAAACACCCGATAACAGTGCAGCATACCCAGAACAGAACCTCGCTCCAAGTAAAGGACAATGATTCCTCAACGAAATAGTGTGGCGACGACCTCGCAAGCTTCATGTTTTCGATGGCGTGCCACCAAATAAACTGCCCCAGCCATGGGACAAGTACCCTCCGAACATGGTTGGCAAGAGTGGCAGCTAGGACGAACAGCACAGCGCCAAACGGGCCATTACGAAAAATGAACCGCCTGATGATGGTAATTTGGCCCGTTGGGACCAATTGACTTGATGAAAAGACGGATGATGCAGCTGACCTCCGTGTCGTTGGTGGTGACATTGTTGAAAGCGAGGTGGGTAACTTCAATATTGGTGAAGATGCTTGGTGATTTGCAATAGATGTGGTGGGTCTGACCGGGGATACATTTTGCCAGGACTCGCTACTAGTAGCCACGTACTTGGAAAGATGACTTTGACTTTGGTTTTCGGAACACTCGCTTCGAAAAAAAGGGAAATGGCACCAGGGTATTTAGCTTGAACCGGCAAGTATACATTGATTCTATTCTTGTCATATGACAAACGCCAAGACCAATCCCATGATAACCGCTAACACCGATATACAAGTCTATGTATGTATCAAAATAATCCGTATATCCCAAATCTTTCCAGAAATCAGGTTCAAAAACAAATGTCGTTATAAATGGGTATCCTCTCCAGAATATCATATCCGCCATACCCAAACGCCTCTATAAGTAGCATATGCCCAATCAGCCGTATAAACGTGTCCTCATAACCCAATCCAACATTGTACATTCCTTCTCTATCCGTGTACCCCAGAAGGCCAACAACGAGTGTGCATCGGTGTGGCTAAAGGAAACGTGGTACGTACTCGCTACAAAGCCGAAGACTTGTGCGATAGTGGTTCGCCAAAGGACGACCAAATCCCATCAACGTATCCCCCACTACCTAAGATCATTTGCAAAGACGCCAGGCCAAAACAAAGGGACAAAATTAAACAACGGCAGCATAAACAGACGGCGGAACAGGGAAAGGTAAGAAATAGGTAAACTTATAAGCCAGAATCAGGTCAAACAACAATGAGGAAAGTAAATGATCAGCCAAGGAGCCTTATCTGGTAACCACGATTGGGGGCCCCATTGACTCCGATGTAGAGTCAGACATGGAACTGGCCTGAAACATGGCCAAAAAGACTGCACTCTCATTCTGCAAGAAAGAAGAGCAAAATTCAATAAAGTTTTTGTTCGTGAATTAGCCATTGCTCCCAGGTACGAGTCCTTGAAGCCTAGTCCATCCGCCACCGCCCAGTCCCGATTTCTCGGCCAGGATAGTATGGGTGGTAAGTGACGACAAAATCCACCGATGGTTGCAAGCATTGTAAGCCTAAGATCGGCTCAGCACAGTGGCTGCATACTTCAGCGCTTACATCGCGTTGGGCCATTGGTAGGACTCCTGAGTGTAAAAGGCAGGGGCAGGTGCGGATGAAGTAGACTCCAAAAGAGCCGCGTCATAAGGGCCAGTGTCATTCCCAGCCAACGGAAACTCATCCACGTAGTTAATTGGGTGTACTTGGTCAAAAGAGGAGAGCTCAACCATTTGTGTATTCTCAACAGAGGTGTTTCTCAGGGTGCACACATCGTCATTTTGATATTGTGTAGCCAGGCCGGCCAGGGGGCTCCACGACGGCATAAAAGAGTCGCCCTCAGCATCGTATTCAGACGCATCGTCGTCGACTGCTTGATCGAGCGCCCCATCAATGTTATTGTCATCTTTCATAAATGGATCCTCGTCATCAGCGACTGCGATAACAGGACACTCATCGGCGTCCTCATCCAGGGGGACTTCAACTTCTTCGAACCAAAGTTTCAGTTCAGACATGGCGGGCCAGTCACCGCCGCCTTTTCCTCCACGCTTCTCATCATTGGGTTTCTTATTCTTCCCACGAGGAGCTTTTGGTTTGAAGTGGGTGCGGCGGAGATGTGCCGCAGCGTTATAGTACGCCCCGTACTGCTTGCCTGCAGAACAAGCTTTGCATTCCGACAATGGCTGTAAAACTTTGACATCGGATACTTTCCCAACAGTTTCTGGATCTCGACACACATATTTCTTGACAAAAACTTTGTGTTTAGCGTTGAGATGACGGCGAAGTTCATGGTCACCACGGAAGCCATCGGGGTGCTCGTTGCAGAAGTTGCAAAAGACTTTTGGGCCCTTGGGCCGCTGATAAGGAGTCTTTTGCAGCGGGATTTTGCCGGCTTTCTTCTGTGGTGCGGTGGTTGAAGTCTTAGCGGGCAACGTGCTATCGGCTTTGGGACGAATCACATTCGTCCTGCCATTCTTCAGAGTGCGTGTCAGAGCCTCTTTTAGGCGACGGTCTGCATTTGAGCCTGTTGACTGTGCGCTGGAAACACTAGTGTTCGAAACGGAGCGTTCCATCGACTGTGAGACAGAGGTGGGCAATAGTAGAGTAGCATTTCCAGTAGATGGAGGGTATTCCTGGCCAGTCATACTGAAACGAGAACCCATGGCGAGGAAGTCGGTGTCAGAGACGGCACTCATTGCGCAGTGATCCTCAACATCCGTGGTTTGCAGAGGGTCGTGAGGCGAAAGCTCGTCCGTATGATGAGACTGAGAAGACGGAAGCCTCACCATATTTGCACCATTGCTGCCACCATAAGAGCTATTCTGTCTTGTAAGTGGCTGGGTAGGCTCCAGGGCCGAGAACCCAGACACCATGGAGGGAGGAGCTGAAGGTACAAAGCTGCTCTGCGCTTCATCTGGAGACAAATAAGTCCCATTTGAAGCCAAGTACGACTGCTCAGTGTACCAATCATGGGTTGAAAGATAATTACAGGGATGAACTCCTACATCTGGAAGAGTGTCATTTTCATGGACACTAGCCAAGTGACCATTGATCGAGGCGGCACGAGAAGACCCGTTCACAAAGCCCGGGGCATTGGTGAACGAGGTCGCCGCGCCACCATATGTGTACGGCATATCTAGCTCGGAATGGTTGGATATGCTGCGAGTCATAAGGTGATCTGGGTGGTCCTGCTGCGAATAAGCTCTCTGGCGGTTTTGGGTAAGCCAAATATGTCCACGTCGACCCTAAATATGGCATGTTAGCAACTCTTGGTTTAGAACCGCTGTGCCTTGTGTGGGCAAGGTAAGGACTCACGTCCATGGCGACATCAAAAGATGCTCGACTCCCCCTAGAGGGTTGAGTATTCCAGCATGGAGAAAGGTTTGCTGATGGTCCGGGGCCTGGGGAATGCTGGTTTTGTGATGCGATATGGCTCTCGTAAAGCTCAACCCGTGCCTTCAATGTGTTCACCTCGTACTGAAGCTCTTTCTCTCTAGCAGTAGACGTGGTCTTGGTCATGGCTTGAGGGACGGGAACTTGTGGTCGAAGAGTAAAACAGTGGCCTCGTTTATGCCTGGCTTTGGAAAAGACCTTGATACAAGGCCAGACAGCGTATAAGGCAGGGTGCAACAAGGGACCAGTCGTAGTCCAGTGATGACGGCCTTGTGGAGCAAGGCCTCACAGCAGAGTCACAAATGAGAAAAGGAGAGATGATTTCTTTGATTTGCAGAGGAACAATACTGCTAACGGTCGGAAAGGGCTAGCAACCGTTCGATGCAGAAGGGTGAGAAAGAAATCCAAGATTGGGGGAGAGGGCACGGCCGGGTTAAGTAAAAGGCAACCAGAGGTCGAGTGGTTCGAACAAGGCGGCGGCGAACTGACAGGGGAGCGAAGGACGACGCAGGATGCGGCTCCTTTCTTCGTCGAGTCGCAGTCGCAGTCTGGCTTGGGGCCATGCGAAGCGCACAAGTGTGCCGGGCATACAAGATTGAGTGTGAGTGCGTCGACCGCTCACTCAATCATCGGGACACAGGCCAGGGTTGGGACGGACATGGTCACCGACCGACAGGACTCGACAACGCACTCTCCCAGTCGCCTTCGTCCCTCTGCTGGGTCGCTGGGCAGTCGTGTGTGTGTTGGCTTCTAGTGAGGTGTGGGAGCCACGCAGGGGTTCGGTATGTACCAGCACTTGTTGAGTCTGGTGATGCTGGACCCTAGAACCCGACCTTGATATCTCAAGCAGGAAAGGTGAGGTATGTACAAGTTGTAGACAACTCCCAATCCCTCCACAGTGCCCAATATTTAACTCATGACTTCTGGAGTACCCACACCCCTGTCGCTGGACGTTTTTGAGAATTGTAATACTAATGCGCAATCAAGCGGCAGGAGGTTGGCCATGAGCGGAATGCCAATGCCGCAGCCGCCTTCTGGGCTGTTGAGCAAATGCCACACCATAGAATGGCACCTCGGTTGCTAGGTTTCCTTTGCACAGTGGTATTTCGGCAGTATCCTGCAGGTCTGACTGGCTTTATCGGGACAGCTGGAGTGGCTGGCTGGCCTGGTGCAGTCTGTAGTCGAAAGTCGAAGAACTACTGTTCGGTGTCGGCTGTCGACGGATCGACAGTAAACAAGTCCTACCAAGCACAATTGACATGTGTGCGTCCTAGAATAGCACGCTGACATTGGCGCAAAGCGACCAGGGTGAGAAGGGTCAGACGTATCTTGTTTAGTACAGCACCAATAGTGTTGGTTTGGGCTCTGCAATTCCACCCCGCGACATGCTCGTAACAACGCGGCGCCATGACGAGCCTATATCATCCGCAATTCGTAGAGCCAGAGCCTTGTGTTATGCGTTTCTCGGCACGGAGTATTGGCGTCAACACCCCCCCTTGGTTCACCAATGAGTTGATGTATTGTCCAAGAGCCAAATGGACCTGTAGCTGGCAAAGATATGAGATGGACATGGATCTCTTTTTCCTTGTTTTGACGTCGAGAAGCTGTGGGATCAGCGGTCAGCTGATTTTTGACATGTATGTACTTAAGTATGCTTTCCTAGCATGATGGCCGTCATTGGGCTTCGTCGGAAACAAAGCATCGTCGGCGTGTGGACAACTGCTGTGCCTCGACCATTTGGCAGCTCGGAATGTTGCACAAAGATCTGGAGATTGAAGACTGAAGAATTCTAGAGGCCATGCTCGTCTCTTTCGATGGATTGTCACACGATTTGGTGCCTTTCGTGCCTAGGGTCTGGTGCCTGCTTCTTTTCCTGAGACCTGCAGTCGCTGTTGGCTGCCAAAGGAAGGCACGACCCACAATCCCATCGCCCGATGGATAGTGTGCATCCAGGCAGACTCCAAGGCCGTTTCATCTTCACTTGCAAATGCTGTTTGGGAGCAGAGAGCTGTGCCTTGTGCCACCCACCTCGCATCGATTCCACACCACCAGAATCACTCGCGAACTTCTTACACCATCATATCGGTCTCCTATTTCCGACCATTCCACTTGGTTTTGGTGGCATTGGGCACGCCCTTCCATACTTGAGCACACACACACCACCCATGGTTCTCGCACTGTATTGCTTCGCGGTGCAGACCGTACCATGGTGCCGTAGGCGTGCTGGTGAAGTAGCGGCAAAGCCTCAGCCGGGGAACCTAGCCGCCGAGTCCGATAATCTGGCTGCCTGGGCATGTGTCCTATCTCGGCCTGGCGAGGATACATACAACACTATGAGGGCTGCGGTGTTGCTGCCAAGACCTGGCCGAAGGCTTATGACCAAATGTTCGGTACCGGATGTGTTATGGGGTCGGAAACCATCGCGTTCATGGGTCAATCTGGATAGGAACCCAGTCTACCATATGTACATGCACACTCGATATGTTAGCAGGGGCATGTCTTCGAATTGGCCAATATCGTCACGTACTTTGCCTTGCTGGATTTACCGATCTGTTTCGGGAAGAAACCCCTTCGCGAAGAATATATGACATTAAGACCCAAGCGCTAAGGCTCAACCACGCATGTTTTGCACCCGTTGAAAGCCAAGGTGTTATCCATGAATCTCTGGAATCGCATCCCTGGCAAGGGACACTGTTGTGTCGACACCGAAAGCGCTAGTCGGTTTTCACGCAGTTTCGGTAACATGTGTAGCTTGCAGTGCCACCTCAATCGATAGTACATTGGCTTAAAGGCAAGCCAAATGTCATCAAGGCATGTCGATTGCACAGCGGCCAATCAAGGAACCCGGCTGCTGCGACCAGCACTTGATTCCTTTTTTCGGCGCTCTGCACTGATGAATCGGAACAGACATCAAACTTCACACATGGTCTGATCAAAGGTGGTAGTCACCAAAGCCGTTATGCTGTACTCCAACGCTTCAGCTCCAACATTCTGGAGCACAGCCCAGTCAGACAAGACAATTAATGGCCACATTGAGAAACCGAACACTGTCACGGTCGCCGACACATAGCAGTTACTTACTTCAGATCAACTATATTTGCACAGGGGTGGTTCCGACAAGTAATATAACAGCAGGACGGTAACTACTGGCCGCTACTGCCAACTAGATGGATTGGAGCTACGTACTGTGTCTTCCTGCTGGGTTATCGACGGTTCCCGTTGACGACCTCTCAGCTATTTCTGGACTGACCTCGCATTTTAGTATGAGAAAACAGAACAAATATTACGACACGGCAACTTGGGGTCCTCGACGCCAAAGGGATATCAGATGCATCTTGGCAAGCCAATCATTGGTGAGCATTCAGTTCCAACCCTTGCAACGACGAAAAGTGAGGCGAACAGTCCACAACCTAACTACCTAGGTACTTAAGTAGGTAGTTTGTGTGGTGCATGCGGCAAGTCAAGAGGCGTGACAAAACAAGAAGAGAGAGTCATTGACAATGCATGGATTGCAATAGCACAACCCAATTGCATTGGAGCGACAACTACTAACCTGATATTGATCCATGATCTGTCCCCTGCCTGTGCCTCTGTTTCCCCAGTTTCTTTAAAGCAGCATTTGAACCCGTGTCTTGATCCAATGCTGACTGGCGATGAGACTAGCGATGGGGCGCAGCCCCCGTCCTGCAGGCATGGCTCCAGGATTCATGCCATTCGACACGATTTTGTACACTTTCGAATTTGTCCCGCGTCGATGTAGATTCATGAGGCTCTTGAGTTCAAACATTCGCTAGTCTCAATTGACTGGTCCACCTGACCTCTGCCACTTACGTACCAAACATGACCAGGTACTATCGTGCAGGGGTTTCGGTTTTGTTTACCTACCTGGTCAGCTGTTGCTTCCGATGTCTATTCCGTCCGTCCCGAAACAAAGAAATACATACATATCCTGCGAGTCCATGCGTTTTGAAAGCATCTCGTTGCTGGCGCCCGTTTGATATGTAGGGTATGTTTGGATATATGGGAACGAACGGGAGTACCGGGTACCCAACTACTGCGCTCTTTGATTTGTGCTTGAATATATTACTTGATAACCTACCAGGTAAGTATGTAGGTACTTAGGTACCTACTACGGTACAGATACTTCTTAATACGAAAGTATATTTATTCCTCGGACGGTACTTACTAGCCCAGACGTCAACTGAAATGGGGACGAGCCTAGGAATAAGCGATTTAAATTGAAGACACGACACATTCTGCATTTGACTGATCTCGTTATGACAAGTAGACATGCATGTGCTTCTATGTTGTAGACTGTTTCAAATACCATGTGTGACGTACTGTTCTGGGTCCAGGCTATCGCGACCCAGGTTTCCAGAACTGGATACCGGCAGATCCTCGGCAACCGACAATGACACCTTGCCATCTTGACATCGGGAGCCATTACACATTCAAGATCCTCTCCCAAAATTACCACTATCTTTCAGCTCTATGTGAGCTTAAGTGACGAGCTGCGGCAAAATGCGCCGGACCAATCTTTTCTTTTTCGCTGGAATCCAGTTTTGTTCTGCGCGATCCGCGAGCTTCAGCATCCACGATGATTTGCTCGCCTATCCCCAGGTAAACTGGTTCCGCAAAACGGCTTCCGTGGAATACACAAAGGGACTGCTAACACCCATCTAGTTTGAAATAGTATTCGCCAGCGATTATATTTCTGAAAAGGCTGCACAGGCGCTAGTTAATCGCAATAATCAACAACACCCAACATATTCCGCCGAGTTTTCGAAAGCAACCGGAAATCATGCACACGCCACAACGACGGCTGATGCGGCTGCTCCAAGTTCCAATGAGTCCGATGAAATCGCGAGCTATTCTTACGAAATATTGAATTTATCACCACATCGATACCTGTGTTCGATACCCGTCATAGAACCACCTGGCCCAGTAAATGAAACGGAGAATGCATTGGCCAAAGTGGAGGAGGAACGAGAACACCAGCGAGCGGCCGTAAAGGGCTGGGAGCTCGTAAGCAAGCTAGAAGGTTCTTGTTTATACTACGTATCTGGATGGTGGAGCTACAGTTTTTGTAACAACCGCGAGATTGTACAATACCACGCCATATCGGT